TTGAGCAAGGCAATGCAACTTCATTTTTAAATACTAAAGCTGTTTCTCTCAACCTTTCACAGCATACCTACCTTCCTCTTATTGTGATAGGTGACATAAACAACAGCTACTAAGAAGGCAACTACAACCAGATGAAAAAAGAAATGACTGTCTTCTTCTTCTTCCAACCCTGTGACAGAAACATCTTTTATCTTCTCATCAAGGGTCTTGATCTCTTCGTTGTAATTACTAATGGTGTCAGGGTCATCATCTTCTGGCATCTCTAGAAGGTCTGGGTTGTCTCTGGAATTCGATGTCATTTCGTAAGGACCATAGTCGTCATCTCCATCTGACTCCATAGTTTCTTTTATGAGGGGTGGTGAACTATTTAGCGTGTCTTTCAAATCTGTTAGAAGATCCTCTTCCTCAATTTTAGTATCTTCAGAAGCATCAACATCCATTTGAGATACTGGACTAGCAGTCACCGCAGGAGAGAGAACATACAGTGGAGAATCTCCTTTTGCTGTAGGTGGTTTTACTGCAGTCATCAAATTGATTTTAGCTGTTGTTGGGAATGCCTCTTTTTTTGTTGGGCTTGCCTCTTTTTTTGGGGGGGGGATACTATGCAAGCTGTCTGTCAAATTTTGGGATCTACTTAGCGTTTCATTCTCACTTTTAGAAGAACTATTCTTCTGAGGCATCTCCATTTTCACAGAATCTGAGAAAAGAATGAGAAACAGTCAATATTAAGCACAAGACACTAACTTCTCTTGTGATACTTCAGCTACAAATGAAAATTATTGCAAGGCATTTACTTTATAGATAAGAAATCATACGATGAACAGGGCATATTTCACACTGCAAACTTTTTAGAATTCACATGCAGAAATACACACTCCTGTACTTTGGCAACTTCAAAAGAGAAGTCTTGAGTAGGACAGGAATCAGAGCTTGGGAAGCACACGCTTTCTATATTAGTATGCCAAAGTGTCCCTGAAAAATTTAGCATGCATATTTTCCAGACTTAGAATTTCAGAGACATGTCCTCCCTCCCTCTGTGGATTTATGGTGTCTAGTAGAAATCATATGTAATTAGTATTTCCTCCATCATCAAACTCTTTCTCCCACCGAATTTGCTGAGGTCTACAGAGGAAGAAGTTCTCAGTAAAGCATTTCCTGCAGTTAAACGTTTTTAATCTTTCACCATTGCATATTTTGCAAACAAAAAATAAGAACACGCTGCAATGCCTCCTTCAGTCAGGACACAAGGTCTTTCTTCCCAGGCACTCATTTTTATTGAATTTATAGACATAGAAAAAGATTTCCAACCTTATGCTAACTCAAATGAAACTACTGAACCACAGCTTAAAAAACAAAGCTGAAGAAAGAACAATCTGACTGCATACGCTCCTGTTGGAAAGTAAGTTGTCAGCAGCAAATTATTATAATGAAATAAGTCAGCAACAGTGCTACGTAACAGTGCACCCTTAGGCAAATTCATAATCTCTCCAATGCTAGGATGGCTTTGCAGAACTACATAAAAAGCCAAAGTGAGCACTAAAACCACATACAGGGCTCATCTTCCTTCTTCTTTATCCAAAGGAAGGTAAAAAAAGATGCAGAGGGAGTTTATAAATAGCCAATGGGTTTCTAATCCTAAGAAAAATAGTAAAGGGCAAACTATTCATGTTTACAGCACGTCACTTCCAGATTCAAATCAGGAGGCACCTTAAAAATGAAGAACACTTTTTAGACTTCCAGTAGACATCATAATTTAAGTAGAAGGACCATACATGCCTTGTATTTCGGCATGCCAAACTATTTTTTAATTTTTTATTTTTAAAAAGTAACAAATACTTTCATTAAGTGCTCCCATGGAGCAACCTGGTTCATTGGAAAGTTACAGACTCTAGAAATGAAGCATTCAATCAACTGCTTGTGTCAAATTACTCATAAGTAAAATATTATACAGGGGACACTGAATCATGTTATTCATGAAACGTATATTTACAGAAGATCAGTTACAACAGACTTCTTGTTTACACGGTACACTTCCAGCATGAATTGCTCTTTAACCAGCTAGAGCAGAGAAGACTCAACTAACCTCACATTACAGTGCCTCTCTGGTAAAGTTTCAAGTCAACTACTTCACATTTAACAGACTTACTGTTGTCAAAGAAATTACTAGCCTGAATTATCACATCAACAATAACTCGTTTAGTTTTTGTACAGCACAAGTTTAGGGAATTCTTATCTCCCCTCAGGAGTCAACCCAGCTAATTGCATACGTGGAGATAAATGAGGAAAGGCAGCTGCAAGATAGTTTCATATTTACAGCTGTTTGGCATGGTATGAGTGAGGTAGATAGACCTTACTGCTACCCTCACCAAACAGACAAAAAGTATTGTCTGAAATACAAACAAGCATAATTTTCCTATAGAACTACACTGCACGTATCCCTGTACTTCGAGTTATTCTTAAACTCATTTTAACATGAAAGATTTAGAAGAATATATGCTTAAATGCAAGGGCCTCCCACCAGCTAACGCTGCAGCTTCAGAATGAGAAAAAATAATTTCCTATTATTCCTAAAATAAGTGATTATTTTTTTTGTTTTAATCAGAGTAGCAAGCTTAGCAACTACACCACAATTGATTTATGATATCCACCCAAAACTATTTGGCATTATAAACGGTGGTTGCACTGCTTACAGTTACACAACACTGTCAGATGATGTTAGCCATAGCGCCTGGACTCCAGAGATGCCTCAGCTTCAGAAATAGATATTAATGTTCAATCATGGTGTCAGAACTAGCAACACAGTCCTCTTAGCAAACACTGGACTTAAAATCGCCTGACAAGGTCAAAATTCGCTTCCGAGAAAACTTACTCTTTAGAAAGCAAGTTGTTCCATGATTTTTAAAAACTCTTGGTTTGCTACAGGTTTCTGTCCCACATCCTGAACCTCTTCCTCCATTACCGCCCACCCATCAGACCAGGTGAGGGGCGCCACCAACGGAGCCGCCTCAGACACACCGACTGACACGCAAGAAAGGAACGGCCAACTCAAACCAGCTTCATTTCCTTCACTAATTCCCCTTCCCTTCACTGCCCAACCAACACCCCATCGAAAACAAAGGCCGTCCCCGCCGGCGGCC